ACACACACACACACACACACACACACACACACACGCAACCCACCCTTTTATCGTACAAGCGGACACCCGCACGGACAACACCCTTCTCCACAGAGGCCAAATGCCCTCCAGCCCAACTCCTTATTCCTTCTGCAGGACAACATGGCCATGAGGAGCAGAGGGGGCAGCTCCGAGGGCACCTGGTCGGCCCTTCTGGGGGTTCACATGAAGGAACACCTCATCCATCAGGGACTGCCGGGGGAATGAGTGTCTCCTCAGGGCAGGAGTGGGAAAAGGAGTCAAAACACAGACAGAAGAGAGGCTAAAGCCAGCCAGGAAAATGTGGGCCCAAGTCAGCCCGGCTAGGCCCAGACCGGGCTGTGTGAAAGACTTCAAACACTGTCACTATGTCATTTAGCACGGAAATGATTCCTCACTCCCCTTCCGGCAACCAGGACATTCCTCCCATTCCAGCTTGAACATGTCCCAAGAGGTCAGCTGCTTGTTTTAGTGCTTATGCCCACGCGCTGGTGTTCCCCCTCAAAGAGTTGGGGACAGATCGCTCCGGAGCATCGTTTACAGTTGTCCACCTACTGTAGATTTTAATAGGCCTCAGTGTCCCATCATCCTGCTCAGCTAAACTACATGCCGCACAAAGCTGTAAGTAAGACAAGATGTGCAACACTCTAGGACAGGGGTCTCCAACTGTGGTCCTGGAGAGCTACTATCCAGTAGGTTTTCTATCCTACCTGGCTTCTGATGAACCACACTAGTTCTCAGGTAAATACCAGGAGCAGGTGTGGCTGCTCTAGGAGATCTGAGGACCATGTGCTGCTTCACCGACTCTCCCATGTTACTCCAGCCCGATCCCGCCACTGGACATTGACTCATCCTCTCTGCTCCTCTTCTCCTGCCTTTCCCCATTCCTTTCTTCCAGTGTGATTTCCCGCAATTTCCGCAGGAAATTGCACTAATAGCACAGATAAGGACAGGAAGAAGAGTAAAAGAAGAAAGCAGAGAGCAAGGCTGATGCGGCGATGAATGGCAGAGGGCAGCAGGGCGAGTCGCAGCGAGCACGGTAAGGCAGCCTTGCTCAACTCCTGCTGCAGCATGTGAAAACAACACAGACACACAGACTGATGTCGCATTTTATGCCACAATGCCCCCCCCCCAGCCTCAGCGTGATGTTTTGCTGCGTGATCCCCAGATCAGAGGATGTTAAACTGGGTCACAAGTCGAAGCGTGTGCTAGTGCTGGGGGCAAGATCCGCAAGGACATGAGGGTCAGTGATTGATGTCAGTAATAAATCAGTGTAATTAACCGAATGGTTGTTTATTAAAAGGCTGGGACCTTGTCAGTCAAGCCGTCTGGCAGGAACATCACAGCAGCATTGATTCACTGGGCGCTTTGGGCAGGGATAATGTAAAGAGCTTTGAGACAATGTAATGTTGTGCAAAAGCACTATACAAATATAATTGAATAGTACTGGAGTTACATACTGTTCCTAATTCTAATAACAGCCTCTCATGTTTCTCTGTATTTAAGCTTCTGTCTTCATACTAGTGAGGAATGGATGAAAGCCTGATAGGAGATGACACTCAAACTAATGATGCAGCAAAAGCAAACCGCAGAACTCATGGCGGGAGATGGACGGAAAATCATTCCGTGTCTAGTGAGAGAAGCGAGAGAGAATAACAAAGTAAGGGCTCTTTCTGTGATTATCCAGCAGCACCTGCCGATTGTTCCTCTGATGATCACACCATGAGCCAGTTACTCCACAAACAGCAGGAAAGGCACATAAACACAAACTCATCACCAGCACTGAGTATTCAGAGGAAGGACAAAGTCAGCCTCAATCTATCTAATGCCACAAACGTAAAGGGACTAAAAGTTAACCACCCCTAAGAGGATGAAATGCACACAGATAGCACAGTGAAGCATTGCGTGACACTTGGCAACGTCTGTATCGTAAAAATTTATGTTTGTTTCTTGACTTGACAGGTGTGGTGTTTCCAGGGCAGATATGCAGTTTACTAGTTGGAGACAGAATCTCCTCTATATGAAAAAAAATCAAGCCAAACTTGCTTATCTATCTGCTTACTGTAACTCATATTACTTTCTTTTTTTAGCCTTCTTTTTATTGCACAAGTACAGGTCAACACTTTCACAGGGTACATCAATTTTTTCATCTTTTTTTTTTTTTTTGTTTAACATTCCCTCTCTCCCTCCCACCCCCAGACTGGACTAAGATTAACAAATCATTAACATTTAAAGCATAAAATATAATAGTTAGCTAAAGGAGCCATGAAAACAGGCAGGCAATAACATATACAAAGTCAATAATTAAATACTTTAGCATAAAAAGAAAGGATTTTGTTTTTTGAGGCAATGTACTTTGAATGTGGAGTGTAGCTGCTACCAGAAGTATGACAGCACCCTAACTTGCAGGAAGTGATCGGATAATCATATTACTTTCAGAGGCAAAACTATTCAGTGCAGAGCTACAGTTTTCATGCGTCAGTGTTCCCTGCTATTTGAAGTGGCAACACTTTGGTGCAGCACAGCAGCTGAGGCTTAATATTCCCAACTATGAAAAAGCGGCTGATTGTATTTCCAATGACCTAACAGCAAAATCCGGATTCATTATCATCCCTGTTGACTGGTACAGACACATGCCAATCTGCTGGCCCAAGGAGCTGGGAAAAGTGTGCATCAAGGCGGAAACTCAGGCAGAACCCCTAGGGCCTCCTACTTCCATTCTCAGGTATTCAAGGAATAAAAGGCCAAGCGCAGATTATTTATTCATCTTCGGGGAAAGGTAAGCGTAGAGGAAAGGAGGTGACAAGCGGTGTCGGCCCGTTTCCGCTGAGTAGAGGACACTGGGAGATGTAGTGCTGAAGCTGCGGAGAAGTGAGCAGTGCAGTGTCAGGTTGGCACCCGTGCCTCAGGAAGTACGGAAAACTAACTGGCTTGATAAACCTGTAAAAACT